ATCAGGACTGGAATAGTACTTAATGTGTTTCTTGACGTGCTTAAAAATAGGAATTAAGAAGTGAATGTGATGATATGTAGGATATATATATATATATATATATATATATATATATATATCATTTGACTCTAGATTTGCAGAGGTTCATAATGTAGTTGTTGGGAAGCATCCTATCGGTAGTTTGAATCAAAAGTAACCGTTCAGGTGAAAAAGTCGTATGAGTGGAACTTCCTCCTTATCAATGGTATATGAAGGGATTATGGATGAGTCGACCATGTGTACGTTTCATGACAGATCCGAGCTGTCAAGGTATGGATTAGTGGAATTAAAGAATGTATTTCGTGTCTATATTTCTGAGATGAGGTATTATGTACACTATTTACATTATTCGAACTATTGTCCTCATCTTTGTCGCCATATTTATTACAACGTTTCGGCCTTTCAGTATCTGTCTATATTTCTGAGATGAGGTATTATGTACACTATTTACATTATTCGGACTATTGTCCTCATCTTTGTTGCCATATTTATTACAACGTTTCGGCCCTTCAGTGTCTGTCTATATTTCTGAGATGAAGTATTATGTACACTATTTACATTATTCGGACTATTGTCCTCATCTTTGTTGCTATAGTTATTACAACGGTTCGGCCGTTGTACGCTCCGGCCTTCTTCAGGTGATTGGAATGTCAAACTGAACCCTTTATTTCGCTCACTGGGGTAGATTTTTCTAGTTCCACGTGCCATGTTTAATGGATGTCAGTTATCAGTTATCTCATGTTAATTCCCCTCTTCAAGTTTTCCACTGCCTTAACCAGGTATTGAACTCACACTCTTTTGCCTCCCATCACTGGATCTAACCAACGCCTTTATCCACTCACCATGTGTCCTTGAGAACTACCGCAGTGAGCAAAATAAAGGGTTCAGTTCGATATTCCAACCACCTGAAGAAGGCCGGAGCGTACAACGGCCGAAACGGAGTAATAAATATGGCGACAAAGATGAGGACATTAGTCCGAATAATGTAAATAAAGAATGTTGTTCCTCTTTTTTTTTGTAACGTTCTCTCTTTCATTTTGGTTTTTGCTTCTGCAGCAGTGTATTTCTTTCGTTATATCTTTCTTCCTTAAGGACTATTATTCACAACGAGATTCTTCCTTCTCTTTCTGTTCGTTTGCTCTTCGTTTTCTTCTTGCCACCAGGAATACTTAAATATGGCTTCTCCAGAAACAAGAATCTTCAAGCATCTCATATTAATGCTGAGAATATATATATCTTGCTTTACGTCCCGCTTGTGTGGTATACATGTGTTATAGTTTCTCTATGTTGGACACTTGTAAATATGCATATATATACAGTAGAATCCCTGACAAACAGACTAAAAAGACCTCCCGGATATGAGGAATTGGTTACAAAATCCGGATATGATGGGTCATATTTAGATTAAAATAAAAAAGGAAAAAAAAAATCTCAAATCAGGTTTAACAATTATTTTCAATGTTTTATAGTAAACAAAATAAGCAAATTTCGAATGAAATATAACGGAATTGATTTTAAGGAAAAACAAAGAAATTATGTAATGTTAATGAAAATTCATTAAATTAAGTATGCCACGTATGCAAAACAAATAATGTAACGAGGATATTTTAATCGCTGTTGCATGAGGATTCTTTCTCTTCTAATGTCATTCACAATTTTTTCCGCTTTTCGGATTGCTTTTGTTTTTGAATTTTTTTAAACGAAAGACATTTTTTAACTCTGGTGTGTTTTTGCAATCGTCATAGCTGAATGCTGGCTTTCTTTACATAAAACTGACAACCTTTTCAATAGCTTTTTCAATTTCAGTTCAGGTTTCATCACAATCATGTTTTATTTTCATTGTTACGGTGTGAACGCTGGAGAATAGTTTCTTTAGAAACTATAGTCAATGTTGACTTTCCTATGTTGAACTCAGTCATTAGTTACAATGATCTTTCACCAGCGTCTAGTCTATTTAAAATTTACGATTTTGCGATAACTCCAAAGTTGTTCTTTTCCTCTTATTCCCATCATCTTTTTCAAAATATTTAAGACAAGCCATTAGGGTGAAATAAACATATGGAATTATCCTAAGAAAATTTAATGAAAACAGAAATTTCAAATCAGTTAGATATCACCCAAATAGTTCAAATATACATATAAAAATCATGAAGCAATCCGGATATGAGGGATTCCAGATATGAGGGATTCTACTGTAACTTTGTGTTTAACTTAGTGGTATAAAACTCTCTCTCTCTCTCTCTCTCTCTGAGAACAAAAGTGCATTTGTCCTTTCTTTTCTTTCAGTTACTCCGTTTTATCATTTATCAGAAAAAAAAAAATAATCTTTTAGCAAAAAACAATTTGCTGTTATCATAAAAGTCTGTGGGACAAAAAGGCCTATTTTGCTGATTCATATTTTGAAGCTAGCAATGAGTCTGTTTACACACTGTTCAATGGTCACATTTTCGGAGTAAATATATAAAACTGACTATCGTTTGCTGTCTTTCAAAAGTAAAATGAATCTTCTAAAGTAAATACAGATTACAACTCCTTGGGCGATTTTTATTTGTGTCGTAAACTCGTAAACGTTAACCATATTGTTCAAACGTTTTTTTTCTTTGCCACATTGATAGAACAATCATATATGCGTTTCCTCAGATGTCATTTTTTTACACTCGAATGATAAGGTCGTGACGCCAAAAGGTATCATTCACATTTATTAAATGTATACGTCTACTTTTGAGAGATGAATAGCCTGGCTATTCACTTAATTTTATTGCCCCACCATCTTTGTCATTTACAGCACATCGATTGTGCTGCTTCGTTTTCCAATTGATAAGAAAATCTTTTATAGGAGAAAAAAGAAAATATGGAACGAAAAGAACAAATTTCCAAGGGCACAGCGATAATGGCAGATACGAATCAATAATAAAATCGTATAGTTAAGGAATCTGGGACTCTGAAAAACACGGCAGTAGAACAATGGTAAAAAATCAATTATCGCGAAAGAGTAGCGTTGTCTCTCAGGCTAGACATCAGATTCCTTCTCTGGGTTCAGGTTCTTTAAAAATATTTCTTTCGCCAGATCGTTACCCAAGAAATAAAATTGAGACTAGTTTGTAGCAGTCAGCAAATTTTATTAGGGTGTAACCTTCTTCTGTAGAGGAACGGGGTAGAAATAAAACGAAGGCAGTGCAATATTTATAATTTACTAATTTATAAAGAAATATATGTGAAAACAATTTTTTATTCATAAATTTGTAAACATTTGCTAAATTATTCAAATATGTGAATTAACTATAATAAAATCCTTATTTAAATATTTTATAAATTTCGAAATATTTGGCCGATGTTTTGCCAACCATTCAATCGAGGCCCGGTTCTTCACTTGCTGACTTTGAGGTTACCTTTTAGGTCAACTCTCGGACCTTTTTATATTCTGAGATGACATCGAGTAAAAAACTTAATTTGGTGAACCTTTACATATAGGAGCAATCAGAATTCAATTCTTCTTAGATCATTGTAATTGTGCTAGCGAGACAAAGTAGAGATTTTCCAAGCGTAGATTACATGTGGCACAAGGCCGAAAGTATGGGGCATCCAGTGAGGATCGAACTCACTTTTCAGTAGTAACTGATCTAGCAAGACAAGCTTGCTAACCATTACACCACCCCGAAGTGCCTACAAACAACGCTCAGGTATGACTGTATCAGAGTTGCTGATGGCTGCCGTTGATAGACCGTTGAGGAAAAAAGTTCGGCTTCTGCATTCGGATCCGCTCTACGATTACAAAATTCAAAAGGATGATGATGATGATGATGACGACGACGAAACTTAATTTGGTGAACCTTTACATATAGGAACAATAAAAAATCAACTCTTCTTAGATCAAGATTCATATCTCTGGTATTTCGTGATGTGAATTACATACTCCTCATCTCAGTAATTCAAACAGGGGCTTGAATTGAAACAATCCCATAATAATTTTCTTTTCTTTCTTTTTTTTGTTACTATTTGAACTGATGACCTGAAGTTCAGACCCCTTTTATCACCAATAAGTTCAATATTTCTTTATTATCTTCAAACAATTGTTTTTATGACTCATGTCTCAAATTTGATGCCTTTAACCTGAAATCGTGATGTAACTTTAGTTCCTTCTTTATTCTCTGTTTGTAGAATCGCATTTCTGTTTATATTGATTTTATCGTTGAGTTTTCTGTAACAAGCTAGTTTTTAAGTGAGTAGGTTGTTAGCCTACTGCACAACTCCCAACCTGGAGGACCAGGTGTGTCTTTCATCTGGCCCCTTCCCCACAGACCTTTTGAACTACATTGGATCTGCTAAGGGCCGAAGCCCCCGCCCACATAGCTCTGAGGATCACGTCAAGGCGACGCACCATCAGGACGGAAGGGAATCAGTATTATCTACCATTTCGTAAAGTTCGAGTTGATAGGCAATTTTCCAATGTTTTGCCAACCATTCCAGTAATATAATAAATAGTGTAAATAAACATTCTAATAAAAATATAGTGTTTATTATTTTTGTTGTCAATTCTCCATAAGGCCCAAGTTTGCCTATCTATCTATCTATCTATCTATCTATCTATCTATCTATCTATCTATCTATCTATCTATCTATCTCAATCACTTCATATCGATCTATCTCAGTCTTTTCCTATCTATATCCATCTATCTATCTATCTATCTATCTATCTCAAAAATATCTATCTATCTATCTATCAACCATCTTCATATCTATCTCTCAGTCTTTTCATATCTATCTATCTATTTATCTATCTATCTATCTATCTATCTATCTATCTATCTCAGCCTATTCATATCTATCTATCTATCTATCTATCTATCTATCTATCTATCTATCTATCTCATCTCTATCTATCTCAGCCTATTCATATCTATCTATCTATCTATCTATCTATCTATCTATCTATCTATCTATCCTTAAATAAATATTTTATCTCAGGATATTTACAATCTTATGAATATTTAGGACTACATGTAAAACAACTCATTTCATGTTCTGCCCCCCTTCATAACATGTGATCATGGTTCTCCACAACTTCCTATCTTTTGTGGCCCTTAGTTTCCCTTTACTATGGATCTTGCAGCCTCCTCCCCTACTTTCCCTCATCCATTCACACAACTCGTCTGGTAATCAACTTTCTGCCATCCTCTGTAACTTTTGCAATCAATGTCGCTCGTGACGGTTAAGTTTCCCAAGCCGTCCTCAAGGAATTTCTGCTATCTTTTCCTGATTCTGATTATAAGTGATCATTCTGTTGCATTTTCTTTAAGACTTCCTTGTTGCTTACTCGCTCCTTGCATGGAATTCTTAGTATTTCTCTGTAGAACGATATTTCTAGTTTTCTCCGCATCCGTCGGGAGATTTTAAAACAGAACGACTGCTTGCTGCCTAACATGGGGTCGGGGAAAAGAAGATACATATCTTTCCCAAGAGTATTAGCACGTAAGTGAATGTAATGGATTCGATTGGAATTCGAACTCGGCTCTCCGATACTTCAATCCGAGACGCTATCTATTATTCTCTGCTTTTATTCAAATCTCCATACGTTGCAGTACGACATGGATCTAACCACATATTTCATAAGTTTTAAATTTCTAAATTTCTAAAAATTCAGTCAGTTATGTGCCATGAGTAATACATGCCTAGTCGATCATTTATCTTTCGATACATGACTGACAAGGTAGATTTTTCTCCACAGTAGGTGGCCATTTTTTTCTGTGGTAGACAAGTTGCCATCCAAGGCTATAGAACCCGGTCTGTCCTATTTACCCTTAGCTGGGGGGAGGGAAGAAGAGGATTCATACCTTTCCCAAGGGTATTAGCACGTAAGTGAATGTATTGGATTCGACTGGAATTTGAACTCGGCTCTCCGATTCCTCAACCCGAGCCGTTATCCATTACGCCACTGTACCTTTTATCAATCTCTGTACGTTGCAGTTCGATTTCGATATGGATCTAACAACACTTCGAACAATAATTTGTCTGTTTTCATATATTTTGGAGTTCAGTGACTCCTTTATTCAAAACAGGGTTGCAACGATGTTAAAGGCCTCGACAAGAATATTAATATGTTTGTCGATCAGTTTCTGACAATCACTTAGTGAACTGATATTAAATGAGTCATTTGATATGAACTGAAGACTTACGGGCCATCCCCCTGGTAATACGTCCTCTTTGAAGGTGTCCTCAAAAGGAAAAGCGCGGAGGGTACTTAATTTTTGTCCCGAGGCAACATCCGCGTCACATTCGGCTGATATACTGATCTTCACTTATACAGGAATTATACCTACGACATTTACTCATTTCGTTTCTTTTCTTGTTAAGTTAATTAAAATAATTATTTTCTTTCGACATTTACGTTAATTCGGTTATCTTCTCATTTCCTCCAATATTGAATTCAACGAATAGGTTTCAAAATGTTCTACCATTACATTTCCTTTGTTCGTTTAATGGAGTAAAATAAAAGAAATAACTTTGGTCACATCGAAATAGCTCCATTTTAAATGCTTGGCTCTCCCTGCATGCATGTCAGTCGAATTTTCTCAAATCTATTAATGAAATTCGGATATTTTTTAATTGTTCAATCTTGGTTTTATCATTCATGTCAAACCAATCTGTGTTTACACAGACCACATTCTTCAAACTAAATATTTAAGATGATAGCTAAATTCACTGTTTCAACATCTATCTATCTATCTATCTATCTATCTCAATCACTTCATATCTATCTATCTATCTATCTATCTATGTTCATGTTTATTTAACTTTGTTCATATCTATCTATCTATCTATCTATCTATCTATGTTCATATCTATGTTCATATTTATTTAACTTTGTTCATTTCTATCTATCTATCTATCTATCTATGTTCATATTTATTTAACTTTGTTCATATCTATCTATCTATCTATCTATCTATCTATCTATCTATCTATGTTCATGTTTATTTAACTTTGTTCATATCTATCTATCTATCTATCTCTGTTCATATCTATCTATGTTCATATTTATTTAACTTTGTTCATTTCTATCTATCTATCTATCTATGTTCATATTTATTTAACTTTGTTAATATCTATCTATCTATCTATCTATCTATCTATCTATCTATCTATCTATCTGTGTTAATATTTATTTAACTTTGTTCATATCTATCTATCTATCTATCTATCTATCTATCTATCTATCTATCTGTGTTCATATTTATTTAACTTTGTTCATATCTATCTATCTATCTATCTATCTATCTATCTATCTATCAGCCTCCTACATCCAGCTATGGGTTAAATAGTCGGACTTGTAGAGGGAATAATTAATAATAATAATCATCGTTATTCTCAAAAAAGATTAATGTAATATTCGCTCGCAAAAAGTGTTTTTCTATTAATCCGAAATATGTTTAAGATTTAAAAAATTCAGAAAGGGTTGATAAGCCGTAAAATTCGGTTTAGCAATGTGTTCTTTTGTCCACAGTCCTTTCTTTCCGTCTAGACCTGTTACACTACAATTGATGGGTATTTCTTTCCTAACTTTTTATTTGAAGTTGTTTGGAACGTCAACATATCGATTATGTCACGATTTTCTCTTCGAGTTACTTGGTCTATTCATTATAGCTGCAAATTCCTTAAAAGAATTATAGATCGTCAGTGATGGAATTCTAATCAGAAAGAGGGCTTGACAGGAAATCTTAAAGCAAGAGAAGCAGACTGACACATCGAGTAACCTGTCTTAGAAGATTGTGTAAATCTGCGGCAGAACAAGCACTAGGAGTGATAGTAAGGGGTGAAAATTAATTAGTGCTACAAAGGATGGGAAGTTATGGAGAACTGTGATCGCCCACTTGCTAAAGAGACAGAACATATTCAAAATATCATGAATGGAACATAATAACGGGTATTTTTAAGGAACAATTTTTTTTTTACCTTAAGCAAGGCGATAATGCCCCTAACATGCAAAGTGTTACTTGGAGTGAAAGAGAATGAAAAGACAATAAAAGAACAGGTTGCAGAAAGACAGAAGATGGCGATAATGCCACTAAGACACAACGGGTTACTGGGAGTGGAAGAGAATGAAAAAAAAACTTTAGTTAGGAGAAAGGACAATAAAAGAAGAAATTTCAGGAAGACAGAAGATGGCGATAATGCCACTAAGACTCAAGGGGTTACTGGGAGTGAAAGAGAATGAGAAAAATTTAATGAGGAGAAAGGACAATAAAAGAACAGTTTTCAGGAAGACAGAAGATGGCGATAATGCCACTAGGACTCAAGGGGTTACTGGGAGTGGAAGAGAATGAGAAGACTTTAGTGAGGAGAAAGGACAATAAAAGAAGAATTTTCAGGAGGACAGAAGATGGCGATTGGCATCGTATTTAGATCATAGGTGGTATGGAAACGAGAAACCGGAAGTAAATTCCAGAGTTGAGTAAAGAAGCCATCAGAATAAAACTGACGGTTACATCGAATTATTTCAACACTAAACGATAAAACTTATTTGCCAATCTAGTTGTACGCTTAAATTTTCGCTGTCGATTTACGAAAGAAGAGAGCTCAGTAGAACTATTACTAAAATCGGAGGGAAGCCATTTCACGGTGGTAAGAAGTCGATATGCCAGGTCAAGATTGATTAAATGATGGCGGTTTGTGTTGTATTTAATTTTTTAAAGATTGTAGATGGAAGGAGTGCAAAATTTCGGAATAGATTTCCACAGGAAAGAAGTGCAAGAAATGAAACTATTAAAATAAAACTTACTGTTGTATCTATTTAGTCCAATAGTAAAATGGCGAGACCTTATTACTAATCTAGTAGAACGCTTATATTCACGAATCCAAGGAAGTAAGCTCATGGTTACTTATACTTAGAATCCAAAAGATACAGTTGAAAGTTGTGGGTACATAATGAGGAAAGAAGGATTGGAAAATTTGACATCCACAGGTCAAAATAAAGGCAAAATTGAATAAAAAGAACCCCTTACCAATAAGACACAAGGGGTTACTGGGAGTGAAAGAGAATGAGAATACTTTATTGAGGAGAAAGGACAATAAAAGAACAGGTTTCAGGAGGGCTGAAAATGGCGATAATGCCACTATGACGCAAGGGGTTAATGGGAGTGAAAAAGAATGAAAAACCTTTAATGGGGAGAAAAGACAATAAAAGAACAGGTTTCAGGAAGACAGAAGATGGGGATAATGCCACTAAGACACAAGGGATTACTGGGAGTGAAAGAGAATGAGAAAAATTTAATGAGGAGAAAGGACAATAAAAGAACAGGTTTCAGTAGGGCTGAAAATGGCGATAATGCCAATAAGAGACAAGTGCGTAACCTACTTTATTTATTTATTTTTTTATTTTTTAAATGGATGCCAAAACAGAATCTGTGTGGTATTGTAAAGAGGAACACGTTAATTAGAGATACAATGGAATTTGTAGAGACCCATAATCGCCTACGCCTTGAATTGAGATTGCACATAAAAAAGAGGTAGAAATGTTTGTTTGAAAATATGTGTTTCATAGGCAGACAATAGGCGGAAAATTTATTTGATGTTATCGAACATTCGTGTGCCTAAGTTTTTTACTTATCGACGTTCGGCTTTGTTGTCTTGGCGTGCTGGTGACGAAATATATCAATAAATAAAAATAGGATAGTGGGCAGGTAGGAGTGGATTTATGATTGTCACAAGGCAGCAAAATGAATTCTTCTGTTGTTGTTAGAGTTTTTTTCCGTTGACCTCTTTTGGCTTTCTTCCTGAAACTTTGCACACGGACGTCGTTAAATGAAATTGTTGCATGTTTTAATTTACGATGTTTCAAACAAGAACGACAGATTTTCGAAGTGGGAAATACTTGTTGCTCATGACATTTCCTTTGTATCTTGCAGGAAGATTAAAGAAACAACTAAAAGAACTCGAAAAAGAAAGAAAAAAAGAAAGAAACAGGAACCTCGAGTTATAAGAAATAAAGAAAGACTAAAAGACTGTGAATAGAAGAAATACAACAACCACTAAATCTCAACATTTTCGCTTATTTATTTAGCAGACGTTATGGAAATATTGAACAAATCGGTAAGTATAAAACTCCTACCAATACACATACATACATATGTACATAATTATTAAGAAATTTGACAAATGGGAAACGTTTCATTGAAACTACACAATTACGCGTTTCAACTTTCTAGGCTTCATAATATCCATAAACAAATGAACGAAAGAAAGATATATGCATATATTTGTGTGTAAGCTTAGATAATGATACATTAGTATCTTTTCCCTAAGCTTGCGTTTCTTGTGTTGAAAGAAAAGAATCAACGTGAGAAGAAAGAAAGAAATATGTATTTGCATGTATGCTTAAAGAAGGAATCATTAGCACTTTGTCCCTAAGCTGTCATTTCTCATGATGAAAGAAAACAATGAAAATCAGTGACTTTTAAAAAAGTCGTTAATATTTATTCTGTATCTTTTTTTTTTTAAATTCTTAGTTCATGCCAAAAATTATTAATATATTTTTACCAACTATTTTCTGTCGATTTAAAGGTAAATCCTCACCTCATTTTCAGAATGGCTCGAAATCAAGAAATTCGTATAGTCTTTTCTGAAATGAATCCAAAACAAATCCTCATCCACTCCTTCAGAAAGGGATGAAATACTTATATGTTTTCAGGTCAGTGCATGTATTACCTGTGTCAACAATATGTGTTTAAAATAGGATATAGAATTTCGACAAATACAGCCTAGAATGTGAAACGCGTAATCAAATCTAGTTTCAATAAAATGTTTTCCATTTGTCAAATTTCCTCAGAAACTTTGTCGGGATTCTATATATTATTTTAAACAGACAAGAACCCCCCTATATATATATATATATATATATATATATATATATATATATATATATATATATATATATATATATATATATATATATGTGTGTGTGTGTGTTTGTATGTATATATGTATGCGTGTGTGTGTCTGTGTTTAAAATAGGATATAGAATCCTGACAAATTTTTGAAGACATTTGACAAATGCAAAAAACGGTTCATTAAAACTCGATTTGATTACGCGTTTCGCCTTTCTAGGTTTCATCAGATCCAAAAAGGAAAGAAAGAAATATGTATTTGCGTGTATGCTTAAATAAAGAATCATTAGTAATTTTCTCCCTAAGCTATCATTTCTCATGATGAAAGAAAAAAATGAAAATCAGTGACTTTAAAAAAAAAAAGGCGTTAATATTTATTCTCTGTCTATTTTTTTTTATAATTCTTAGTTCATGTCGAAAGTTATTAATATACTTTTCCCAGCTTTTCTGTATTGAAACTAACGTAAATCCTCATCTCATTATCAGAATGGCTCAAAAGCAAGAACTTCGTATAGCCTTTTCTGAAATGAATCCATAGCAAATTCTTATCCAATCCTTCTGAATAGGTTGAGAGATTTATATAGTTTTTAAACAGTCACTCATTTTCTTTTTTCTTTAATCACGAGAAACGCCATCTTTTTAGAAGAAGTCCCATCATTCATTATTTAAGTATACACACAAATATTCGTACGCATTTCTTTTGTTTTTGGATCTGATGAAGATTAGAAAGGCGAAACGCGTAATCAAATCTCGTCTCAAAGAAACGTTTTCCATTTGTATGATAATCTCTTGAAAAGCACTTTGTGACATTATGGAGATTTCGAATAACATAAAAGGTGGTAAAATTTAAATTCACAGAACCCGTGTATAAGGGATTATCATACGAACGTAATCTCGTAATATATATAAGCGTTTCTCAACAGCAGTCACTCAAGGTAGATGGTTACTGAAGCTGGTTGTGATGTGGAGTGGTAAGAGTTAGAAATAAGAAGCGCCATCTATGAGGTTATGGGGAAATGATAATCGTTAACTCTAAAATTGATGCGATTAAGATTGTAGGAAATTAACCAATCGGGATTTAGTTCCACAAAGTTCATTAGAAGAAGCTGTTTGATTAAAACTTATTTCTCGCAAATAGAATACGAACGCAATGAAGGTGGTTCACCTCAGTTTACGCGGCGTGACTGCTCTTAATTATGGAAGTTAAAGATGGTGGAACTAAGGAATATACACTTTCTATTGAGTATCGAGAGGCTTGTAGCGTTTCGCCTGTAAAATAGCAGGACACTATTGCCTTGAGGTGGCAACCATTATAGAAGAAAAAAAAACAATTAAAAACAAGTCTGAAGAAAGATATAATCCATCAGGATATTTTGCCCTAAACACATTATTTCTGCTATAGCCGCAGTACATATGCTGCCCATACAACCCTAATGGATTCCGGGATTTGGGACATAACACATCTTTGACGCTTTCAGTCTAACTTTTAATCCCGTAATCTAATGTAAAGCTTCAATTTTCATAATTCAAATAATTTTTTTTATAGTGTATAAAATTGAACGAAATTTTCTTTGCACAAAAAGTATGAGCTAACAATTAACATTGGCTCCTGAAGCAGCAACCATATTTTCTCACGGATCAACTTTTATTTTGAATTCAAAAAGATGTAACAAAGATATTGTGGGAGTGTTGATCTATACATATTGAACCTCAAGTTAATAAGTCAGTGAATAAATATTATTTTTCTATATGGTTTTAATTTCTTACACTATAGATCAATACTAAGGATAGGCCGTTTACAGGGAAAATCTTTTATTTAACGCTTGGTTTTCTGGTACAGTGATACAATGGTTTTATGAGGCTATTTCGAAGCAGCTTTTCCATTCTCATTCAATTAATTTAATGGTAACTCTGTTGTTGTTGATATGAGTCAAAATATATTACATACTAGTTTAAAACCACCTAAACTTACCTTTTAAAAGTTCAACGATAATTCTTCCGTCGTCGCTTAATTTAAACTTAATTTGATGCATGTAGGTCCTTACTTGCTGTACAAACAATGATTTTTATTTCATAGCTGATTTTCGTAATTAATTTCGATTGTTCCCAAATTTCCAAGTTATAAATTTGTTATCGTACAAATAATTCGTCGAAAATATCACGTAAAAATATCGCCGAAAACAATCGCAGTAATGAAATCTTGGGAATCCAAAATGTCAGGATAGCTGGTTCGGATAGTTTTTAATTTGCTCACGGGGTCGACCTGATTTCAAGATGGTATGATATGTTTGGCTACAATCTTTGGGAGTAACGTTAAAAAACGTGACACACAGATATTCGCTTTTATTATATAAATTGATCAGTTCAAATCAAGTCCAACATATTGTTGCAACAATCTAAACAAGTAACTTGTTAATGAAAAATGTTTTGTCTTGTTTTAATAAAGATCACTCATCGGCTTTCTTCGCTGTAAAACATTTTTTATTTGGACATTTTCTCCGTTTTTTGATGATACTCGCAAACATACATCGATATCTGGGTAATGGAGCTCTCCTCGGCATCTTCATCTTTTATTTATGACATTTAGCTTATAATCATGCTCTGATGTCTGCAACAAAAACGAGCTTAAAGATTTCCCCATACTCAAATGTGTCAGTATCTATTTTACGCATTGACTATATGTCAAATTTTGAGTGATAATTTGAGCGGCTCCAGTATTTTATTGGTGAGGCGATAACACGGAAGGCAGGGAAAAGTAGGTTTCGGCCTGTTTTTTCCAAAACGCACTTGTAAATTTAATAGAAATAGTTTCAGTCATCATTGAAATTGTTCTTCAATTAGGACTTCCATCTAAAATGTTTTGATTTAGAGATTGACAAACTACTCAGAATATTAAAATCAAATTTCGAAAACCATTTGCATCAACTTAGGGTAGTCGCATTGATGGCACTAGCGAAATAAATGGACAATACTTGTATTTTCTCCAAACAACAACAACAACAGCAACAACAGCAATAATAATAATAATAATAATAAACATTAGATTAAGTTTCGATAGGTCACAAGTTAACCTACAGGAGATAGCAGTAATTGTGTGATAAATGTAAAAATGTTTAGTTGTCCAAACAACAACAGCAATAATAATAATAATAATAATAATAATAATAATAATAATAATAATAATAAACATTAAATTAAGTTTCGATAGGTCACAAGTTAACCCACGGGAGAGAGCAATAATTGTGCGGTCAATGTAAAATGTGTTTAATTCCTTCTCGATATTGTGGATGCACGCACACACACACATACATATATATATATGCATATATATATATATATATATATATATATATATATATATATATATATTGAAATGGATTAAGTCCGACAATTATTTTAATATATTTTCCGTTTATACGTTATTTTTATAGAAATGTTTATTTAAATAAATGATCTTTTTTTCTTAAACAGTATTAATTACATTTACTGGCCTGAAGGTTCCAGAAATTTTGTAGAAAATATTTGCTTCTCAGACAGGAATCAAACCTATTAGCTTTAATGTGAACCTACATTTGATCTGATGTGCTGTTAACCATTCAGCCACAAAGAAGCGTCTAGTTAGCCAATTCCGAATATATATATATATATATATATATATATATATATGAGATCATATTTCTTCCATGAAAATCCTCTTATTAATCCTATGCTTACTGATTAGATTACCGATATTAGTTTAAAATCCTTTTTGTTCGAATTAGTCCATAGATTAACACAAAATTATATTTACATGTGTGGAATTTCAATAACGTATTTAATGTTAAATTAATGTGAAACATCTGTTTTTCATTTCAGCATAAAAATGGCTCATCAAAATGGATTACAACTTGGATTTTTATTTACCTTTCATTCTTTCGTAAGTATTTAATTTAATTTCATAATAAAGTCCTTGAAACTAATATTTTAACTCTTTTAGATGATAAAAATAAATGAAACTAAAACAAATTTTAGCTTCCTAGATTAAGTATTTTTTAACAACATGATACACTTTGAATCATTCTATGCAAAATCGAGTTGTAGACAATTTTGCTCTTCTTTTCTTCTTCATGCAGCCATAGAACTATCTTTTCCTACCAGCTTTATTTGCAGGCAAATACCCCATACTCTTGTGCAAATTAATTGAAACAAAACGAATAATTTCTTATTATTTACTTTTTTTCGTATTTTCCAATGAAATATGACCCAGTGCACATGTTAGTACTTCGTATGTCCATCCCACAAAGTCGTTCTTTCAAGATTGACTAAAAATTCTCGACTGGATATAAATCAGGAGAGTTTCCGGGCCAGTCTATAGTACTTTGATTTTCTCACTGGTAAGGCTTGCCAGTGTGTTCGTGCAGTGTTTCAATTTTTATTTGCTTCCTTGGAGTAATGTCCATCGCAGACAATGAACATAAGACAACTAATCGACAGTCGAGACAATAGTGTGTGGGCGTGATGAAAAGCGGATACAATCACGGATGACGCAATATTTTTCAAGGCCAAACAAATTTCATCATACACACAGAAAATAGATTCATATTACTGCACGCAACTGCAAATGACCTAATCTGAGGTAAAAATAGAAATCGATTACACCCTGTCACTCCACTGAGTCTAAAACTGACCGTATGGTGAAAGAAAGGGAACTAAAGCAATTAATTTGCACAAGGGTGTAAATTCGGTAAGGTCATGAATCCTAGAATTGTCAATTAGTCATTCATACTCGAATCATGAATGAAGGATACCTATAGCGTAGTAAAAGTTTTACGTCATCAATTGATCGTATCTGTTGATTTCCAATGAAACATCTATTGATGATGGTCGGCTTTTACGAGTTAAGATTTGGTATCATCATTTATTCATTCTATTAAGTTAGCACATTTTCATCACTCCCCTCACTCTCACGACTGTGGTTCATGGTTAAATTACCGGTCCCATTTCTGTTTTGATGTGCGGGTGGTGTAATGAATATCGGTTCTGAATAAGAAATCGAAGAGCTGAGTTCAAATTCAGGTCTACTTCGTTACATTCACTTACGCGCAAATACCCTTTGGATTAATAGCAGGGCAGACTGGGTTCTATAGCCTTAGTTGTCAACCAGTCTAAATCTTGCGCCTGGTCAATCATGAACTGAAAGAGACATGGTCACCCACATGTGTGTCACGTGTGACACTTAACTAATATCTGGTATATATTAATTAATTTTATGTAAGTGTGGCTGGTAGTCAAAATTGGAACATCAAAAAATGGAATCAAATTTTGGGGGCAGGGAAGAAATCTTGGCCAGGCTAAGAATTTTCAGGAGCCCACTCTATTGGTAGAGAAAAATGGAAATTTGATAAATCTCCTCCAATGATCTGACATCAGATTTTTTTTTTTTTTTTTTTTTTTTTTACGGGGAAAGAGTTGCTGGTGAGAATTGTTGTACACTAGACAAAACTTGCTTGTAAAAGAATAGAAAATGATCCAATGACCTGACATCAGATTATTTTGGCAAGTAAAGAATTCTTGACCAGGCTGAGAATTTTCAGCACCTCCACCTTAAATCGTACACTATCTGAATTCATTTTTCAGGTCACAATCACTGACCCAGGCATTCATCGCATGTAAAATCACCCCAGGACAATAACTTTATGTACCGTGTCCTTTCAGCAGCTGGGAACATATTTCATTCTCCTTCCCTCTCTCCCCCCTCTCTCTCTCTGTTCATCTTTTCAGCCGAGGTGTCTACTTAATCCATTTAAGCATACCATCATATTTTGGGAAGTTTGAGAATGAATCGGATATATGTAGAAACCTATATGGAAAACTTTTATCTTCTTGCCCGCAAAATAACGGCGTGTCAAAATAACGGTTTTTCCCTTGACACCGCTATCATTTTAACTACCTTCACGACTGCGCAATGTTTATTGTTCTAAAAATTGATAAATTGATGATAAAAGCGATGATGTGCAGAGTTTGATTTTGCTGACAAGGGTTGATAAGTTGTAAAAAATGAATGAATCAATGAATCAATCATCATGATTGGTGAATATGCAGGTTTATCTTGGTGATAATGAAAAGGTATCAAGTACCTAGAGGTATTGAAAATTACAATATCTTTTGCGTTTTAAAAAATCCAGCTTCAAATTAATCAAATATTTAATATTCATAAGAAATACAATAATAAAAAAACTATAATTAAATAATAAATTCTACTTTAATTGGAATTAATTTTTAGTCTCTTATGAATTTAAACGTTTTCTATCCTTTCATCAAACACCGTCTTTACTCTTAATCTCACTCTCTGAAACTCCTCCCTCTTTACTCTTACTTTCACTCTCTGTAACTCCTCCCTCTTTCTCTTACTTTCACTCTCTGTAATGCCTCCGTCTTTACTCTTACTTTCACTCTCTCTAACCCTTTCCACTTTACTCTTACTTTCACTCTCTGTAGCTCCCCCCCACTTTACTTTTACTTTCACTCTCTGTAACCCCCCTCTTTACTCTTACTTTCACTCTCTGTAACCTCCCTCATCTTTACTCTTACTTTAACTATCTGTAAGCCCCCCCCCTCTTTACTTTTAATTTCATTCTCTATAACGCCCCTCTTTACTCTTACTTTCACTGTCTATAAGCCCTTGCGTGCTAGTGGCACTGCCGCCTTCTTTGGTGTGAAATGATTTAAAAATGTCTGGCATTGATTAAACATTGTTTCTTGATGTGTGAGGAAGATTTAACGAGAATCAGAAGAAACGCGAGTTTGTTTTCAGATCTGCGTTACTGACGAACGTTTCTGTCTATATTTCTGAGATGAGGTATTATGTACATTATTTACATTATTATTATTTACATTATTCGGACTAATGACCTCATCTTTGTCGCAATATGAGCACTGGTAAAAATAGTGATGAAGACATTAGGTTTATAATACCCAGAAATTCATACACAGATGTCCTCAAGGACCTTCCCTCAAAAACTGGTATGGCAACGAAGTGAGGGATCAGTTTGTATATGAATTGTAATATAGAAATCATCTCTTACTTTATACAACATTATAATTTCACATGTCACAGTGGATAAAGGCGTTAGATAGATCCAGTGACAAAACCCAAAGAGTGTGAGTTCAATACCCGGTTAAGGCAGTGGAGAACTTGGAGAGGGGAATTAACAGGAGATAACTGATAACTGACATCCATTAGACATGGCATGTGGAACTAGAACAGTGAGCGAAATAAAGGGTTCAGTTCGACATTCAAACCACCTGAAGAAGGCTGGAGCGTACAACGGCCGAAACGTTGTAATAAATATGGCGACAATAATATGAGGACAATAGTCCGAATAATGTAAATAATGACGAACGTTTGTAGAAAGATAAGCTGTGAATTGCAATAAAAAGTAAATGAAATTAGGACGCATTTGTCAAGCAATGATTAGAAATCCTGAGAGTTATTCTTTTTGTAAAGACTTGTTGCTTTGAAAACGTCTACAGAAGACTGAAATCGTACAGAAAGGTGTTGTGGTTAATGTAAAAAGATTTCTTTTCAAGAGGAAGCTCCTCAAAGTTGTCAGAATGTAATTTCTAGCTTACTTTTAGCCATGTATTTCTTTTATAAAATTAGTAACAAAAATATGAGATATAAAATCAAAAATATGATTTAGTTATGAATTTTCTATAGTATTTAAATAGTATTTGGAGTTAAATAAAAATCTGTGACGAATATAAGAATCCAGACCCCACTCTTTATCCTGTTTCAAAAATTATACACAACAGCGACTATGAATAAAACCGTTGTTTTTGTAACAAGACCAACATTATTTGTAACTGATTTTCTACCAGAAGCCTTCTCGTCCTCGGTATGATGACAAACTAAATCCGGCAGTATCGGGAAGTTTCGAGGGGAGCGGAGCATCTCTTCATTGATGTTGTTCCTAGATCTACCCTGGTAGCACATATACTAATCCCAGCTATAGTCAAATCGTGAATACCTAAATTGGGGGTGGGAAACTAAAAATATAGGTTTGAAAAAAAAATACCAGCAACAGATTTTTGTAAAGAGAAAAATTACTCCATATCCCAAGAAAATTAAATTTCAGCATTAAATGACCCATAATGAGTTGATGTGCCATTAAACAAACAAAGCAAATCAAAGCTCCCCCAAAAATTAAATTTCGGCATTACATGACCCATAAGGTGTTGATATACCGTTAAACAAACAAATAATCCAGAAGCCTTCACGATATCCAACCTTATTTAAAACGAATAAAGGAAGCGCTTAATTATTAATTGCGATTAAATTCCTCAAAAACCAACCAGCCGACTCAAACACCGCCGTTCTTTGGCCAAGTCCCGGCTGTTATTGTTGTTAACCCACTCATTTATGACGTCTCCGAACGGATATCAGATGTGTTTCCTGACCACCTGTCAAACCTATTCTTTTGGAAAAATCAGGCTTTTCCTCGTTCAGGAGTGTCTAGTTCATGCTCACCAACAAATTCATGCCGGGAAGTCAACTGTTAAAACTGGTCCTGCTAGTTTGAATAATAAAAAGAAAAAAATATAGGAAGGCTTTCTGTCTGAGTTCGCTTCAGCGAAAATATTCGACATCCCAGTTGTACGTCACGGGCGGTGTGTCATTATCGACGATGACGTCAATATTTCGTCATCATTAGCCTGAATTCTATCCCACTAGACACATCAAAACAAAAAAGCTGGGATAAAATAAAATGCGAGGCCAATTTTACTAATTGGAGGCTCTCTCTGGATCAGCATCAACTCGCTTGTCTACTATGTGCTTCAGAGTAGTGGCGCCTGGCTCAACGCAGTGCCCTCTTCATCTACAGGTACCCTTCTAGATGATGAGTGCACATGGATCGGTGTCGTGATCCGTCTAGGACTCAAATTATGTGAGCGTCACAGATGCAGATGTGGAGCTTCCATCGATGAGTTTGGTTTGCATCCTCTCTCCTGTCGTCGTAGTGCCGGCCGCTTTCCACGGCATGCAGCCATTAACGACATCATCAAAAGGGGTTTGGATGCAGCTGGGTTCCCTTCCCAAATCGAACCCGTAGGCCTCGACCGCAGTGGTCGAAAGCAGCCGGATGGCATTACCATTTTCCCTTTTAAAATGGGGAAGTCGTTGATTTGGGATGCGACCTGTGCGTATATATTTTCGGCCGGTAATTTGATCAGGTCCGTGGTTGAGCCGGGATCTGTCGCCCGGGACGCAGGGATGAAAAAAATAGTTAAATATTCTTGTCTTGCTGATAGATTTTTTTTTTACTCTTGTGGCAGTGGAGACTTCAGGGGTTATTGGCCCTCGTTCGATGGCGTTCCTTCGGAGGATTGGGGCGATTGCGTCTCGATTAAGGGACGAGCCTCGCGAAACGGAGTGGCTCTTGCAGTGTGTCTCACTGGCGATGGTTCGAGGTAATGCTTTCTCTATCATTGCGGCTGACAGAGGATAGAAAAAATTGTTTATAGTTACTTTGTTCAAACTATTTTTTCAATAAATAAATTTCTCATTAACAAAAAAAAAAAAAATGAACGCTTTCTGTCTGAGCACACTTCAGCGAAAATATTCAACATACCAGTTGTACGTCACGGGCGGGTGTGTCGTTATCGACGATGACGTCAATATTTCGTCATCATTAGCCTGAATCTTGATCTTGGAATGGTTGAGCGTGTCAAACGCTTTCTTTGCTAATGACACCTCAGTCCAAATTCAGCGTTTTCAACAATTTAGGTATAGAATGTCGTTTCCTGGAATTGAACGTCTCTCTGCCTCTTTGTCACGTCTGCGAGTTTTACGTATATTTCTGGCCGTGGTGGTAGATGGTTGGAAAGATTCAGTCATCTGGTGAGTCGTACAGCGCTACGTTGAGCGGTCAGCTTCAGGTGTCTCAAATCGGCTCTCCTTTAGAAGGCACGTTACATAAGGATGGACTTCAGCTGAACTGTATACTGCTTCTTTTGACTACTGATTTACGTGTACTAGCTTTTCAATTCTCCGTATGAGTTGCTCGATTGTGAAAACTTTATTAAAGGTAATCTTTACATTTCTATCAGAGCAAAACTCCAAAGATTTATTATTTATTATGAGGTATTTTTTTAATCATTTCGCCCCAAGCTAGGCAATAAAGCCACTAAGACGCAATGAGTGTGAAACAATATGAACAAAAGGAAAACATTGTTAAAGAGCGGGAGAACAATAAAAAACGGGAATTCAAAAGATAATGATTGAAATAGTTAAGTTTATGAAAATTGGCTAGGAGGCAAGGGACCGTAAGAAAGTTCTGTAAGCGAGAGAAGAAACTGTTAGCATAGAACTTACGGTTGCATCTACCCATTTCTATATTAAAATGATGAGACCTCGCAGCCAATATAGTACTGCGCTTAAATCCGTGAAGACGGCGTACCAGAAAAGAATGTTCATCAGAACAATTACCATAAACATTTTAATAGAAAAGGTAGAAGAAAGCCACGTCACTGTGATGGAAAAGTCACTGAAGCCGAGATGCCAGGTCAGGACAGATAACATTACAGATTCTTTTTCGGATATTTATCAAGAATCTCAAAATACACGACAGAAGCGCCCTATTTAATTATTTAAGACAATTACACAGTATTAGATAGATGTTGATTGTGACTACATATAGGTTTTCAGGCTTCTAAAAGATCTACTTGAAGGAAACTATTAACAACTGGTTTTAAAGATTTTGAGAAAGGTAGGATTGAATATACAAAGATTAGACGGGTTACTCGCTACGAGGAGAGCGTAAACATCTTCCCTGGAAAAGGTACTTAAGATATTCTTATCTGCACAGAATGTGGACGACCATGACCTTCCAACAACTTTGTCATTAATTTTTATTATATATATATATATATATATATATATATATATATATATGTGTGTGTGTGTGTGTGATCCACACACAGAGTGTTTCGCCGTATTACAGCTCATCAGTGTGGCTAGACATCCGACTGCCTCAAGCCGGGATCGAAACCTAACCGATTTGGCATCAGTCGGAGATATTTACGTTGAACTATAAGCTCCTAGCAGAGAGGAAGGTGAATTTTGACGTCTTTTGACGTCGAATAAAACACCAGTGACTCAGAGTAGTTAATTCGCAGAAGAGCTTTTGCATCATCATCAGCAGTCACTGTTTACAAATTCGCGCTTTTCTCTCTAAAATGTTCGGGTGCCTGTATATATGTTATCCACAGACAGACTATATATATCTTTATATATATATATATATATATATATATATATATATATATATATATATATATATATATATATGGGAAACCGTCTATATGTATATATGTCAATTCGTCTAACACACACACACACACACACACACACACACACACACACACATATATATATATATATATATATATATATATTGGGTATAACAACAAAATTGCACAAAGCATGTAAGAGCAAAATTGTCCATTTTCAGAAATGATTAAACATATGCTACTGGAATTCTCCGCAGTTTTTATAACCCTATTGGACTCTACTTTGAGCAATAAGAATATATAGTTACTC